CATGATAGATTATTGTGGCAAAAGGGGTAAAAATGATTTAACAATTAAAATAAAATATGTTAGATGTCAAGGGTTGTAGAACAGTAATGTAGAGAGAAGGGTAAAGAGGGGAGAGCAAATGGAGTACGGCAGGATTTGTAAAAGGGAAAGAGGTTAAGGTATTGGGAAAATATGTTGGTTACGAGAGTATGCCGCATGCCCTGTTGCTACTTTTTCTGCAATATGTTTTATTTCCATATCCTTGACTTCTTCAGGACTTAGTTCTGTCTTAATGTTCATCCACACAAACATCCTATGTTTTTACTAATGGACGATTGCTTGTAATATATTTTCTAGTTTCCCAGCTTCTTAATTTTAATTAAAGGCCCTTCGTTGTTAATATCCTAAACCTCAAATCTAACAACTTTTCCTCTACCTTGAAGGGTAACTTTGAAATTCTGATTTACTGATTGATTCTGTTAACTTTGTGTTGTTGATATTGGATGTTTTCATGCCACAAGCTAAGTTAATTGGTATTACATTCAATTATGCTTGCCTGTTTACCACTGGGTCCTCGGTTGTAGTTTGGCGGGCAGCAGTCACACCTTTCTTTTAGCCTCCTTCTTCTTCTTTCTTCTTATATAGGGTTTTAAACTTATGTCTATATTCCCTGGATCTTGTTTCTTGGAATCTTCTCTCTGTTGTTTGAAGGAATTGATCCCTGTTTCATTTATATTTCATCTGTCTTGGTATGTAGTACTTCTTAGCATGAGGTTGACTTTCCCCTGTAACAAGTAGGGAAACATTTGGGTTAGTTATTTTCATCTTTTTTAATGCCCCTAATAATTTAGTTCTTTCAGAGTAGAATCTTGGGCATTGTAATGTCAGGTGTTATAAATTTGGTGAACTGAATCTTAATCCCAGGATATCTTGCCTCTCAGTGAATTCTAGGTCTACATTTTCGATTTTGATCTTTAGTAACTACTCTTCTTTCCATTGTAAAATATAACAGCTTACTTCTTGTTAAATTGATCTTTAGCTCCCAGCTGTCTGCCCATTCTTTTACTTGTTTTAGCTTCTGCTAATAGTTTTCTGTATTTTTTCTAGATTATCGTTTGGCATTTTTTTCCATTTATTATAAGCTTTATATATATATATATATATATTTTTTTTATGATTTCTTTACATTTTTCATTCCACCATGGTTTATGGGATTTGATTTTTTTATCTACATATTAGAGTTTTTTATAAGGCTTTTCATATCATTTAATTCATATTTTTTATATAGGTATTTATTTCTTTTTGATATTTTACCCACCCTTTGTTACTGAACCACCATTTTTTTCTTTTGATTGAGGGGACTTTGTATGGTGTTCTCCCTTACTGTTACTGGTAAGTGGTCACTTCCTGTGTTTGGTCCTGAATTTCCGAGTGGCTTGGAGTCGGGGAAGATAGAATTGAGTCTAGTGATGATTCCTTTGCATTTCTAAGGTCTATTCTGCCGATCTGGTCAGAAGTTAAAAACATTATATTGTTTTCTGCTATTACTTCAAATAAACTGTATAAAATTCTATGTCATTCTGGTATTGGTAAGGAATACTGGTGTACTATATATGATGGATGTCCTATGGCAACTCTTCCTGGTAAAGTCCTTTAAATGTTCTTCTGACTTCAAATCTTACTGCCTGTCCCTTCAAAGTACTCTTTGTGTCTTCTATTATGTACTTTTGGTGTTGATTTGTATACAGCATCAGTTAACTTCATTGGGTCATTAAAGTTTGGAGTTTCTGATTCTCCTGCTGAATTAATTAGTACTTCATGGTTATTTTGTCTTATTGTTGTCATCCATCAAGGGTGGTCGAAATTCTCCCAAGTTTCAGCCGCCTTGTGACTCCAGCCAATTTGGGATCGGGGTTTTCTTAGGTCACTTTCTTCTCCGGGTCTTCTATTTGTTTGTGAGTCATAGTCCATTTCTTTTGGGATTCCAGGGTTTTCTCCTAGATCTGGGTTTAAACATGCATCCATTCAATGTTCTTAAATTTCACTACTCGAGTTCCAGATTTACGTGTTCACTCTGTTGCGGTTTAAGGAAAAGCCTTGATTTGGGAATCACAAACCATGTTACTTACCCATTGCAGTTCCAGGCTTTTCTCCTTGGCCGATGAAATGAAGCGTATATCAGTTATTCTTGTGTCCACTGCACGGGAAATTTCTAGTTTCTTAACTTCACTGTCCATCGTTTATCTTATGTTTCCTGCACTCGAGACGTCTTCTTCTTTTTTCCTGCACTTGAGACGTCTTCTTCTTCTTCTTTCTTCTTTTATAGGGTTTTAGACTATTGCATAGTCTATATCCCCTGGATCAATATTCTTTCTTCTTTCTTTTTCCTTATATTATTTCTATTAGTTTTGTTTTCTTCAAGAATATTTTGGTGTGTCTTAAAATGTAGTACTTCTTTATTGGTGAGAGACCAGCACCTGTGAGTAATAAATCTATGTTAGGACTATTTATTTTGATTCTTTTTAGAGCTTCCATCAGCTCTGTTCTGTTGGAGTGAAATCTTGGACATTGTAGTATTATATGTTCTATATTTTCTTCTTGCTGATGACACCATCTACAAATTGGGTCATTTAATTACTATTTTTAGTCTGTTGGTTCAATCTTGTGTGTGTTGTTTTGAGTCTGGTTTTGCAAACATCTAGTTTTCTGCTTTTTTATTTTGTCCATGGCTGGGGTTCTGTATTTTTTAGGTAATTTTTTTGTGTTTAGGATTGTCTTTAATTGTGTTTTCCATTTTTTAAAAATATTCTATTCTTATTTGTTTTATCTTTTCTCTTTTGTCCTCACGTATGGTTATGGGATTTGTTATGTTATGTGCTTTTTTTGCCACTTGATCAGCTATTTCTTTCCCTCTTATGTTTTTGTGTGATGGTATCCACTGTATTGTTAGTATCTGTTTTTGGCTTGTAAGTGTATATATCACAGCCTATATTTCAAATATGATGTGTCTATAGTTTTTAGGTTCTAAGTTTGATATTAGTTGTAAGGTTGATTTTGAATCTAAAAATATTACTGTTATTAGTCTGTTGTTCTGGATATACGTAATTCCTTGTTTTATTGCAAAAAGTTCTTCCTCTATCATTTCTGTTTCATCAGGTAATTTCCATATTGTTGCTATATTTTTGTCTTAGATATATATGGCAGCTGAGGTTGAGTTTGTACTTAATTTTGAACCATCTGTGAATATTTTTGTATAATTTAAATATCTTCCAACTTCCTTTCCAACTTCAAGAATTGACTCTTTATTATTTGTTCAGGGACATTTTTTGTTAGATCTTCTATGAAGTTAGTTTTTATGTTTTTTGTAACAGCAAACCATAGTGGAATAGGAGTTATGTTTGGTATTATTTTTGTTTTTATTGTTATTTTGTAATTCTTTGCAAGTTTCTATTACTCTGTGTACTAGGCCTCTCTTATCTTTTTGGGGGTTATATTCTTCCATGTTATATTTCTTTCCATTTGGTTATTCTCTTGTTTTTCACATATATTCATCATCTGCATACACTCTAGTTCTTTTTGTTTGTATCTGATGGGCATTTTATTTGTGAGAGTGTATAATGCTAATATTGTGGTGTTTTTTAAGCAGCCTGTAGCTATTCATAGGGCATTATTTTGTATAATTTTTATTTTTTTTCATTTTTGTGTTTTTGACTGTACAGAAGATTGAGATTCTATATTCTCTTTTGGTTTTTAAATAAATAGAATAAAATTTTATTATGGTTTCTCCATTTGCTCCCCATGTTGTTGAAGATATTTTTTTTCATTAAGTTCATTCTATTTGAGCAATTTATCTTTAGATTATTAATGTTTTTTTTTTTTCAAGTTAATTTTGGAGCATCAAATTCTAGACCAAGAATTGTGCAGTTAGTTGTGAATTTAAATACTTTGTTATCTATTTGTATCACTGGTATTTGTCTTATTCTGTTCTTTGTAAAAACACATAAGTTTACTTTTTGTTAGATTTATTGTTAAATCCCATTTGTTCGCCCTTTCTGCTATTTGTTTTAACCCTAATTCTAGTTTATTTTTAGCCTCTGCTAGATTGTTATCAGTTGCTATAATTGTAATGTCATCTACATATGTTATTTTTAAAATTCCATCCGTTATGGTCAAATCTGTTGTCATTATGTTGAACAATAATGGACTTAGGGGTGAGCCTTGTGGGAGGTCCCTTGCTATGTTTTCTTCTGTTGTTTTAATAATTACCTATGACTATTTGATAGGTTCTGTTTTTTAGGAAATCCATGATCCACTTGGGTGGGGCACCTGTAATTCCAAGTTTTGCTGCTTTTATTATTGTTTCGTGATCTATTGAGCCAAAAGCTTTTTCCAAATCTAGGCATGCTATTAGACCATTTTTTTTTTTTTTCTGCGAAAGCTTTGTTGATTTGATATTCTATTATTTGTAGAGCATCTATGGTTGAGCTGTTTGGTCTGAATCCTGTGAGGCCTTCGTTTAATTTTTTTTGTTAATTTCTAAGCACCAATTTAGTCTATTAGTTATGATGCTTTCATATATTTTCCCAAGACATGATATTCTACTAATGTACCGGTAAGATTTTTTTATCTGATGGGTCTTTACCTGGTTTTATTATTTGGTTTACTAATGATTTCTTTAGTTCCTTCGGGTATTCTCCTTTTAGCCAGTAAATGTTAAGCAATGGTAAGATTTTTTCTAATACTTTTGGGGGACATTTTTTTTTAAATTTGTATAGAATTTCATCAGGTCCATTGGCTTTTCCATTATTTGATTTTTTTTTTATTACTGAAGTTAATTCTTTTAAAGTGAGATTTTTACTTATTCCTTCTTTGTTTGTTTTTTTTCTGTCAAATTCTCTCTTTCTGTTTTTGTCAGCAATTTTTTTGTTTTGTTTTTGTTGAAATTCTTCTTTTAGCAAATTGAGTTTTTGCTCTGTGTCTTGAATAGGCTGATTATTATCAATTAATGGGTAAAGATTAATTCTATTTTTACCAGCAAGTTTTTTTTATGAAATTCCAAGTCTTTCTGGTTGGTGTGTTAAGGTCTAGAGAAGTACAGAAGTTTTCCCAGCTATTCTCTTTTTCTGTTTCTATAATGGTTCTTGCTTTAATTCGTAGTTTTTTAAAAAATTCAATTCTGTTTGTGTCATTTGGATTTTTCCTCCATTTATTAAAGGCTTTGTTCCTTTGTTTTATGATTTCTTTACATTTTTGATCCCATCAGGGTTTGCTTGGTTTATTTTTATTGACTTTATTATCAAATTTAAAGTATTTTTTTACCAGTGTTTTAGGTCCATTTTTTATTTTATTGAATTAATGGCCTTGATGTCTTTGTTATCTAATTCTTCTTGAAAATACCTCCATCCTTCTTTACTGAAGCTCAATTTATTTTCTATTGTATGTGATTCATTTATGTGGCTGCTGTCTTTTATTATTACTGGAAAATGGTCACTGCCTGAATTTGTGTTTGTTTTTATTTCAAAATGGCTCTGTTCTGGAGATCTTATCAATAAATCTATAGTCGTTCCTTTCCCTGTTTTTAGGTCTATTCTGGTGATTAGTCCCGTGGGAGTTATTAACATCAGATTGTTTTTAGTACCCAAGTTAAACAAATTTATTCCCGTTTTATTTGCGTTTTTTGTTTTTATACGTGGGTTCCATGATGAGGCGTGGGCATTAAAATCTCCTGTTATTAATTTGGGCTTATCTAATTGCTCTATGTAATGTTCTAATTCTAGTTGTTCTATTTTGTTGCAAGGGTTGTGAATTAAAATCATATTTAGCCATTTATTCTTGTAGCTAATTTTTATAGGTATTTTTTCCATTTTATTATTTTGTATTTTGTCTCTCACTCAGGTTTATTTTCTTGTAGTGTATACTATTATGTATACAGATCGAAAGGCCTCCTCCCCTTTGTTCTGTTCTATTTTTTTCTGTCTATTGTATAGTTGTTTCTCTTAAAATTGTCATTTTTAGTTAACCAAGTTTCGCAGATTACGTATACTTGTTCTTTGATTTTCATATTATGTTCTTTTGTTTTTTCAAATTTTGATTTCACTGGTGGGTTTAATGTGTCTGGTTCTCTTTGGTTTATGTTGTTGTTTTTTGTTTTGTAGGCATTTTCTGAGGTGGTGTTATGTACTGTGTGTTTGTGTTAAAGTTTGAGCAAATGTTTGTGTTACCTTTGGGTTTGTTTGTTGTATGTTGTTTGTGTTGTCCTCTGGTTGGTCATATTCAGTGTTGCGTATCTCCGCTGTTGTTAATATGGTATTTTTGTAATGTTTTTTTTTGTTTTTGTTTTTTGAGTTGTCGGGTTTAACTGGTGTAAAAGTTTCTTAACTTCTTGGTTGTTTGGTGTTGTTGTTTTTTTGTTTTGTTTTTTTTTCTTGTGCTTTTAAGTGTGTCTGACATGTCCTGTCGTATGCCGAGTGGTTACTCTTACAGAAAAAAACAATAAGAGGAATTTGAACAGTCTTTAAGATTGTGACTAACCTAATTGCAATTACTACATCTTAATTTGTTTTTACCAGAAATTATCCCGTGACCATACATGAGGCCTTTGAAACATTTTGGAATGGGAAAAGTGTATTGAAACACTTGATATGCAGAATGGCCTAGGGCTACTTCGGAGGGTAGTGGACCTTGGAATCTCATTTTTAGGGCTCTAGTGGGTAGCCATTTATTTTCCCTTTCTGATGTTTTGGTTTGATGATTTATCCTGTTGATTTCTTTTATTTGAGTGTCTGAACCCCAAATTATTCTCATATTTTTTTCTTGAATTTCTTTGGACTTCAATTCCGCTTTCCACTGGGGGAAATTGTGCTATAGGAGCACCCTGGGTTTCTGCTAGAGGCTGGTTGTTTGCATTGAACATCCCGGTCTCGTAGATAGTTTATTTCATTCAAAGGTCCTGTCTTTTTTATGTCAATCACTTCAAAAATAATAGCTCTGAGTTTTCTATGATGTATTTCAGGAATTTTTGATTTGTTAAGGGCATCTGTTAGTTTTATTGGATTATTAAAGTTTGAAGTGATTGATTTGTTTGTTATATTACTAAGTACTACATTTTTTTAGGAGTAACTTGCATTTCTGAAGTGTAGTGTGGGGGTTCCGTGGTTTGTCTGCAGGTTTCTTCGTCACGAGCCTGTTTGGAGTAGGGTAACCTTCAGTGTCAGTCTCTTCGTCTGCTGATTTTCTTGGGATCGTATTTCATTCCTTTGTTATTTCCAGGCAGATCG